ATTGACTTTGTATTGCTAGATTAATATTTATTATTCATATTAAGTGATTATCTTGGAGTACGCTAAAGCCAGGACTATAATTTACAGAGCAATATTCTACCTTACTACAAATCAATGTAATTTGTAGTAGCTACTGTGACAAATCAGCTCATTCATATACTAAACTTCTGGACTACCTCCCAAAAAAGTGGGAAAATGAGAGGAAGTTGCTGTCATAAATGTTTCTATCATAAACTGTTGGCGCTATATAAATCCTGTATAATAATAATATAAAGCGGAACCCCAAAACCTCTCTGCAGTGGTGGTGCCCACCCCCTCCCCCCCTCCACCCCCTCCCCCCCTCCACCCCTCCAATGTGAAGTATATGGCTGTAGCAGGAGGCAGTTTGTTTGCCGAGGGGCTAGAGAACGGTACAATAATGATTGTCTGCAGGCAACAGTGAAGTATGGTGGAGGTTTCTTGAAAGTCTGAGGCTGCATTTCACCAAATTGAGTTGGAGATTTGGTCATGATCAACGGTGTCCCCAATGCTGAGAAATACCAGCAGATACTTATCCATCATGCCATAATATCAGGGAGGCATGTGATTGGCCCCAAATGTATTCTGCAGCAGGACAATGACCCCAATAATACAGCCAATGTCATTAAGAACTCTCTTCACTGTAAAGAACAAGGAGACCTGAAGGTTATGGTCTGGCCCCCTCAGAGCCCTGATCTCAACATCATGGAGTCTGTCTGGGATTACATGAAGAGACATAAGGATCGGAGGCAGCCGACATCCACAGAAGATCTGTGCTTATTTCTCCAACATGTTTGGAAGAACCTACCTGCCGAGTGCCTTCAAAAACTGTACCTCGAAGAATTGATGCTGTTTTGGTCACATCAAATATTCATTTGGATTTCTCTTCTGTTCATTTACTTTCAATTTTGTTAATTGACTTCTTGATATCATATTTTATTTACTTTCCCAGTTTAGCAGCTAAACAACTGACAGGTGTAGTTCAACTTTGATTGGGCATCAGAACATTCAACTTCCACAGAAAAGAAACTGAGACATACATAACATTAGAACTGAAGCCAGAACTCCATAATTTATTGACCAAATCTGGACATTGCATAAAAAAAAAAACATTTTCAGATCAATACAAAGCCCGGATCAGACTGAAAAAAATAAAAATATAATAAAGAGCAATACCGGGAAATTGTGGTGAAATAAAGTAGGAACTATAAACTCACACTAGTGACACTAGGTTTGGTAGGCTTTGTTCCTTGAAAGACTCAGCAGTAGAAATGGCCTCAACTAGTTTGTCAATGTTGAAGTACCTCTTGGTTATCTGGCTTTAGTAACAAAGTAAAATAGATGGTTTCTTTGAAAATACCCAGATCAACTCTTTTTGTGGCTCAGTTGCACAAAAATATAGAAACTATCCAACAGCACAGAAACTCTACCATCAGCCTGTGATAATGTAAAGTATATGGAATTTTTCTGGGCTGTGCAGTCTCCAACAGCAATGCAATAGTGTACAAATTTTATTATTGATTGCATTAGTAGGTGTACCTTACAATTTGTTGATGGTGCAGTATTCAGACAGTGAAATATAAACCGTTACCAACTCTTAAGGGTCTATAATAATTTATACACAAACAGGTGCAAGCTCAACAATGATATGTCTGCATAGGAAAGAGGAATCTGACAAACGCTGGATAGATACACTTTCTCATAAGGTGCTTCTAACTTTTTTCCATCCAGTTTTCTCTACTGAACTGCTGATATTGTTTGTAAATCGAGAATATATGGGAGAACATTTAGGTGAATGTGCCCTGGGGTGCAGTAATGGGTTCACTACTGCCAATAGCAACTATGCTACAAGAAAACAGCTTTCTAAAGTTGTGATAATTTGTTCCAGCAGACTCCCACCCCCAAAACTGTAAATACAACTCTGCCATTACCGTGACCACTTGGAATCCCATTGGGGTTCATCCCTGCACAGGAGATTCTAATTAGTGACATATGCATTGCACTACAGCTATATTACTGGTAAGATACACATATAGATGAGGATATGATTAGGAGCTGTAGTAATGGGATCAAATAAAAATAAATGGCATAGGACTGTGAAACATCCCATTTAGGTGAAGCCCTACCATTCCCGAGGAATAAGGTTCCAATATTTAGCTTTATATAACTTAGAATGTCCAATATGAATGGGTACTATACATTTAAACGTAAACCTCTAGGAACATAAGATGCTAAAATAGGTTAACTTTTCAGTAGGTATATTTCCTCCAGCACTGCTCAACGCTTCCTTGAAATCTACCCACTTCTTTATATTGGAGAATATAAGTGACCTCTGGCCCATCCATGAAATGACCAGTGCCTAAGCAACCTATTAGTATGCTTGGGCACAATCATCTGAGGGAAGTCGGAGCATGCTTAGGACTATGTAAACAGCCACTTTGTCCAATATGCCATTTTCATAACCTCTTTATTAGGGTTCCTGGCAGCATTGGAAGGGAAAGCTATTTACTAGAACAGCTATATATGTAGTTTGTTTATTCACTAAAATTGTAAATGCTCAGACATCAGCAATTTAAAGCATAAATATAAGCAATATTGTATTTGCCATAAAATGCTTTTCTCACAAGAACATTGAGGGACACAGCATTAATTTAGACCCATAGCAGTATTTACCCACAGCTTAGTCCATCAATGAATGATGAAGAAACAGTTTTTTGGTTTTGGTTAAGGTGGGGAGGGGGATAGACCCTCAAGTTCTACATCAGCAACCAGCCAGGATATGAGCTGATCTACTCAGCAGGGACACCGGCAGCAATAAACAGTTGACAGTGGTTCTCACCCTGCCCATGCTCTACTTTAACAAAAATGTTTTATTACTGTATGTTGCCCTGTTAGGAAAGAATTTTTGCCCTTCTGTCTCCACAATGGCTAACCCTTCTCCACTTTGTATTAATTTAAAAAAAAAAAAGAAATCAGATTTAGACACACAACAGATGATGGTTGAATTTTAGAAAAAGACAGGCCCGCCAAATGATATCTGGTTTGCCATACACAGGCTCATAAGTATGTATGCAGATATCCCACCTTCCTTCTCAAGGTTGTGCCAAATACAGTTGTTTGGCTTTTTATCAGAGAATACATTTTGGAATAATGCCAGGTTGGGAGTAAATTGTAGAGAAATGAAAATGTATGTAACGGCAAAACCTTTTTGTTTTGCATAGTGAGAAAGGGTTAGACCCTCTACCAAGTTTGCATTAATGGCTGTGTGCCTGCTGGGAAAATTCACCCCTCTATTGGTCCTGGTGACCACTGTCATTGAGACAGAAATTGATGGAAAAAAACAAAACTTTTAGTGGACATAACAAATGTGAGGGAAATCTTTTAATGGAGACAAAATGTTCTGGCGACAGCAGTCTACAATATAAATCCTCTTTTTCTTCTCACTTCCTGTTGCACCTCCAAGACAGAAATGAAGGGAAATCTCCTTAGCAGGGGCTTTAAATTGTATGTAAACCCCAACAGTGAACTTCTTACGTGCTCCCTTTTGGTCTTCTAAATATGACAAATGCTTTCAATTGTATATCTGTTCGAAAAGTGCAAACACCACCTGTGGATTTTGCCAGAAACGTTTTCATCTGCTCTAGGTCTATGCAAAAAGGCAGATTATGGATACATTATGTTGTACTGTCATAGAGAATGAAGCAAACTAGATTTCTAGTACAGTAACAGATATTTGTATGTACTTGCAGTGTATTTAGAATGAAATAGAATGGGGGATATGCATGTATTGCAGAGATGTATACATTTTTTTCTTTTGGCTGGGCATACACTTCCCTCCCTCCCTACCTGCTCTATCCAACAGAAAACAATGTTTTAGCTGTAGCTACACGTTAACTCAGAATGAAGTTTGTGACCAACCATTTTTATGGAGATCAGTATCTTTCTCCCTCGGCACTGTGATTTTCCCACAAGAGTAACACTGCACATTGCAAGCCTAACAGGAAGCAAATTCATTAGTAGTTATGGAAGACTGTGTTAATGATATAAAACATGGTCCTTTTTCAAGCACACATTTGGCCATAATATCAACGTCATCAGCAAATTCACTGGGAATGTTTTTATATTCTGAATACAGCCACTTAAAACAATTGGTAGCCGAGCAGAAAGAGAAAACAAGTTAGGTATCTATTACGTTGGAGTGTATCTACCCAGCAATATACGTCAGATAAGCAGCTACTAAATACTTAAAGAAACGTCAATTATTCAGACTCTCCATCGATATCTGAATGTTTGAAGTTGTATTTTATTTTTAAGAGGCCTTCAAGATGAAAGAAAAAAATATATATTATAGGTCCCACTTTTTAAATATGCATTTAGCAACATAGTAGTTGATTGATCAAGTCTACTGGCTCTAAGGTGTGCCAGCAACAGTAAATGTGGGTCAGCTTGTATAAATTTGCTATAACAACTTATTTTTCCTTATTATCTCCCAAAAAATATATTTTTTTTTTTATGTAGCTTTTAAAAGTTTAAAAGGCCTGGCTAGCCAACACTGCAGAATGCCTGAGAATTGCACAATACAATAATCTGTTCTGGTAATTCCCAAGATTAAGGTCTTTTGGACTTTGAACCAAAAGGACTTCAACAGTAGCATAGAAAACTTAAAATATTTAGCATCTTCTTTTTCTACAAACCCTATATTCCTTTTGATTACATATAAATACAAAACCGCTATTTCTTTTACCTAAAAAAGTGGTTATAATGGAAAATAAATACAAAATAGGAATCTGACCTTATACTTCATGTGCTGGGTACAAAACCCATATAAAATGTACAACTAAAAAAAAAAAAAGGAATATTTCTCAGATTAAAATATTTGCTTCCCAACTTTCTTGTAGACATAAATATATATTCAAAACCGTTTTTTCTTTTTTTAGCATTACATAAATAAAGTTTCCATTGGGAAATATTAAAGTGTCAGCTTTTTTTTTGTGAACATGTCGGAGTGTGTTTTTATTTTGTGAGTCTGTAGTTTATTAGCGACACCCACACCCTTCCACAACCATGTCTTGATAGTTTCTCAACACAACTTTTTCATTTTCATCTAGGTAGAGCATAGAGATGGCAGTCAGTTCTGTTGGGACGCAGCAAGCTTTTGGGATAGCCGGGTTGACGGAATTCACCAAAGTCTGTACAATGGCGTGATTTGTGGAGTTAAAATGATCTGCCAGTGGAAAGGGGCATTCACCGTGGCAGTAGAAGGCATGGTATCCAGGAGGGGCCACAATCCAGTCATTCCAGCCAACATCACTGAAGTCTACATACAGTGGGTGTCTTCTACAGCTTGACTTGAGCCGTTTCCTTTGCCTTTGCCTCGCTTGTCGTTTTTCTCTTTTGTGGAGAGGGAGTCCTTTGCCATCGTGGCTATAAGTTACTAAAAGTGGCCTTATCTGAGACCATTGGTCTTTATCAGGCAGTAAAGATCTTCTAATCCTCACGTGTCTCTTAGTGACGTTTTTCTCACTGTCCAAGTGAGTTACTTCTACAACAAAGCCATGGTTAGGCTGTCTGTGTGCAATCCACCTTATAATAGCTGGTGTGACATCAAAGCTTTCCCATCTGCTTACATTATGATGGATCAGTCGGGTGTCCAACAGTCTCGTGACAGGCCCCCTGGAGGCAGCAGCAGCTGGCTTGACAATATCATAAATATTAATGCGGAGAGTCTTATTGCTGTCACTTTCAAATGGCTCTTGAACCTGCTCTCGAAATATACGAAGCTCAGCTGACGTGATCAGCTCTTCACTAGGAATGGAAGACAAGTTGAAGAAGAAACTCTGTACAGTATTCTCTCCCGACTCTGGAAGCTCTTCCATTGATTCTAAAAAATAAACAAAATTAAAAAGGAAAAGAATTATGACTTTTATATAAAAAAAAGGTATTAACATTATGAGTTGTCAGGCATATATACTTAAACCATAGTAGAATAGGGGTATAACTGCTGTAGGGCCCAAGGAATGTCCTCAGGAGATCCCTGCAGAATGGCTCTCCACTGTGGCATCAGTTAGATCCTTTGAGAAGTAATAACATTACAAAGGCATTAACCCCCTAGATTTTGGAGGCGCTCAAGAGATACAGATGATCACTGTATACAGTGGTTAAAGGTTATGTCTGCATAAAAGGTAGGCATGGCTGTATTGACACATGCCACCATTGGCAAATTGCTCTTTGCACAAGCTCTGCACTATGCAATCATTTTAGAATGTGCTACCAGGGGCAACATGCATATTCACTGCTGTTTTTAAGTTGTACAGACCAACAGACAAGGTAATAGTTTAACGTTAATTGAACTTCAGCGACACTCTCATCACAATTTGTAAATTTTGAGGCTTTGTTTTGCCCCTACCCTGATGCCCTAGACACTAGCTTACACGTGTTATTATGGGGGATATAGATTCGTAGGTAGGCAGATACACAGATTTAAAAAAATGTCCTAGATATACCAATATGGTGGTTTGTTGCATCATCTATGTCCGGTTTTCCTCCTCTAAAAAAAAAAAATTACAATTTCCTTTTTCCTCTAGGGATGAAAGTATACTATATATTTCCGCCCGCTTGACAATGTCAGCTGATCAGAACCTAGGACAGCCCATGAAGAACAGATAAGTTAAATGATACTACTACTACTACAAGCTACCATCAGCACTGCAAAAGCTCGCTAAAAGTATTTACAGGGTTTCTTTCTTGAGAAGTTAATCTAGGGTGACCGTGCTCCTGTTCATCCAACACAAACCAAGTTGTAGGCAAATAGGTTAAATTTAATATTAATAATTTGATTAATATTAAATTTAACCTATGTTGAGGGGGACTTACATAAACCAGATTCTGATCAGCCATGTATTTAACATTACTAATGGATAATGGTTTACAAAACTGAAAAAGAATCACTTATGATCCTCCAATTTAAAAACATCCAGATTTGTTGATAGCTATTGCTTACAGACCATCTTGGTAAACCTTTTGAAAGCCCCCAAACCCCCGGGAAAGCAGCACCACCTACCGTAGTTACAAATGGTCATAAAATATGCCAGTATAACTAGGCTATGAGATACAGTACAAAAAAAAAAAAAGAGTAAAGCCACATTTTTGGGGTCACAAGAGTATATTTAAAAATGTACTCCTATGACCCAAAGTTAGGGAAGGATCCCGAAAAAATCCCAACTTCACAGCTAGCTCCGCTAGCTGTGCTTCCCTGTCCAGTGTGTGTTGTAAGAACAGAACAAGGAGAGTCCCTGCTCTTCATAGAAAGAAGATGCCAAGAGATGAGTGATCAGCAAATACACAATCGCTTAGGTTCTTGGTCTCACAATTTTTATTAGTCCAGCTCCTTCGACAAAAGTTGATTATTCAGCCATCAGAGCCACTCACTGTTAGAATTTCAGCTGATTCCTATAAATTTTAACAGTGTATGGCCAGCCTAAGGTTCTATCAGGTGTTCACTCTACTTCCCAGCCAGTGGAAGTATACAGGAGATATTATCGAAATCTTGACAGTTTTATCTTTAAAAGTGGGATGCACAGTGGTATTGTACATATTTTCATTATTATGTCGGAGCTGAAAAACATAAATCATTAATGAAGGCAAGAAATCTATGCTAGCAGTACAGAAGTAACCAATTGATGACTTGGTTTATAAATATATTTTATGACATTTTGACTAGGTATCAATATGATCATGTGTCAGGAATTGTTTTATTGCAACTAAACAGAAAAAGACAAAACATTTTCCTATGTTTCAATAATCAGAAAAAAGTAATATGTGCCATCATAGAGACACGTTTTTTTTAGATTTAGGAATCCTATAAACTGTGGCGCTCTCTGCCAATTATTAAAAGCACTGAAGCACCGTCATGGATGGCCTTCCCAAAGGAACAGATATAGAATGAAATCCCTTGCCACAAACTGGCTTTACCTAGATCAAATTCACCTGATCAATACCAATAACACTGGTCCAGCAGAAAGTGGAGGAAGAACTTGTACAATGTGAATAACAGTTCAAAGTTTCAGGTGTATACCATTATTAAGATGTTATCTCTCTACAATGAGAATATAAGAGAGTTACAGGAGTACAGATTCTATGACCATTAAAGAGATGTGTTCAACATGGGAAGGTTAATGAGTCACTACCCATTAATCAAGTTAGATTTAATTCCGTTTGCTGAGGACAACTACAACAATTTTAATCTCAAGGGTGTTTGAAAATATCATCTGTCTTATATTATGCTGACAATTTACACATCTGTTCTGGTAATCTTTCATACAATTTTAAAATATTAATCCTTAAAATCATAAATATCCATTTCATGTAAAAAATTTGTGTAAAAAAAAAAAAGAAGAAGACGAAAGAGAAGTGTAATGCAACATACTCTCTTAATACACAGTCCAACTTTTCAAAGAAGGAATTATAGCTTTTCCAAATCAATTTTGTTTCTACATAAAGAGTCAACCTCTCAGTAACTTTACCATTCTGCGTGACTAAATTCCTAAAGCGATAGAATAATTCCTAAATAACATGTGTATCATCATTAAAAAGCAGTCCTTGAGCTACAAGTAAAGACCCATTCACACTCTTGCAGTGCGATATGGTCATTCATTCTTTAAAGGCACACCAACACACCCGAGTTGCAGTGCACCACAACACATAACACACTAACATGTTGTTGTGCACTGCGTTCCAAAAAAATGGTGCATGTCCAATTTTTTATGGGATCTGATGCATTGCTAGCCCATTAAAATGAATGAGTTTCAGTAATGCAACACACATCATTTGCAGGAGAGGTCAGCAAAGGTAGCTTACATAATTCTCCAATGACAGCTGTATGAAAAATAGGGACGCACTGGAGGTGGAGGCAAACCTGACTAACAGTAAAAGTTGAGTTGTACATATAACTTCACATGCCTAAACCTTAATCTACCCTGGTCTGCTCATGGATTTTTTCTTCATTATATGTTGGACCTTTAAGAGACCCTGAATGGGCAAAGTGATGGAGACTGTTTAAAGCAGACTAGACATAAAACAAAATATACTGTCTGTCTAGATTAGATCAGCCTGCATATTTGCTGTCCTCCAGGCTTGAGAAACTAGCAAAACTGTCAATAGGTTATATTTAAGGATCTAATCAGCTCCCCTACATTATAGAAAAGGTTCAGACTGGAGAGCTTTAACTCACAACAGACCATTCATTCTTTTAACCCCAACATGTCAGCATTTGATTCTGACAATCCACAAATTCTCACATTCAGTTCTAATTAAAGGCTACAATTCAAACATCTTTGACAAAGCGGACCCACCAACTAAGCTTCAATACCAAAAGCAACACCGATTTAACTTTATACAAGAGTGCTGGATAGATGTTTGGAGAGTCATTGGAAACTAATTCCTATGAAAAAGATCCAACAGATGGTTGAAAAGATCTATTCAAAAGAAAAATGTATAACAAATTAATAAGGTTTTAGCTATTCAAAAAAGGCACAGCAACTGTATTCTGAAGTTGAAAAATTACAGAGAAAATAGACTGCATGAGGCTACGCAAGAATTCATATAATGAACACGTTTAGCAAAGCACTTAGTCTGTTATTCTGCCCCTTTCCTGGCAGAGACCACCCCCCAACACCCCAGATGAAGAAGAGGACCCTCCTGTGATGTTACCGGACCTGCTAGAAGACTTCAAGATAAAAAGGTATGATTAGAAAAATAATAAAAGTCTAGATAGACTTTAAAACCCTTTTGTCGGCTATCTGTTCCCTCACTGTCTAAAAGGACAGGTATAGAAAATTTACACATTGAGGGAAGAGCTCGTTTGGACAGTTGTCACTGGACAAGCATCCCCATTAAAAGGTTTCCGCTTTGTTCTCATGATTTTGATTCCACTTTTGACTGGACTATACCTTTATTAACACTTATAAATTGAGAACTAATGGGAACTATAGGTTTCACTGGATGAAATCATCCCTCCATATATTCTTATAAGAAACGTGCTCTCTTTATGAAAAAATGGAGGGCTTTCTTTACATGTATATGCATTTTTTTTCAGTTCAGGATACAGTAGGGAAGAGAAAAAGCCTTTGTTTATTTTTTGCTGCTGTTTGTGTCCCATTGGGAGAGATTTACCTTTACATCTCTGTTCCAGAGATGCAATAGGAAGGCAGAGGAAATCCCCCAAAAGTGAGGTTAATTTTGCCTTTTATACAATTGTCAATGGGACAGATGTCCCCATTGGAAGAAATGCTAAATTTTGTATTTCCCTATCCTTTTATGCCTCGGACAATAAAAACTTGACAGAGGTCTAACCTATCTTTATTCCATTCAAAACAAACCAAAAAAAGTTTGCCTTTACACTATAAAATTGAGCCATCGATTTAGAGCAATTTCATAGTCAGGATTCCAGAAAGCTGTAAAGGTTTGAGGCTTCAAACCCTGCTCCACTCCATCCGAAACTAAAGAATATGTTCTGGTTGTAATTCTGTTTTAGGTGCTGGCATGCATCTTAATAAAATAAGACTATTTTGTTATATACTGAAATAAAAAAAAGAGAAGTATTTAACTTTAAAAATAAACCAAAAGATGTCCTCATAAACGACATGTAAGATTGCATTGAAACCTTCTCAGAATGCTCTATCAAAGCAAAGATTATTAGCTTGTAAATGTATGTCTTGGCTCTAGGTGAAAGACGATTAAACACTAAGACTCTGTAAACTCCAACTCCAAAGCAGAGCTGGCTGGAATGAATCACACACCAAGACTGAACTGTTTATTACGGAACGGTTTACTTTTATACCTAGAAATGCTCAAACCACATAAGAGCACGTTTTACCAGTCTCA